ACAGGGCCACCTAGCAGGACTCAAGTAGAGGCCAGCCCGGTAGGCTATCTGATGTTACCTTTAGGACCCTCAGACTGAGTTGAGTGGATGAGTCTTGACGTGGGCTGATCCACTGTCTGTATCTGGGTTGTGTGCGGGGCTGACCAAGGTCTGGGCCTCGCGAACGCAGGAAACAACGGGGATCCATCGTCTCCTCCAAGCTCTGCACAACTGAATGGCTGGGCCACTCGTGCCAGAGTGAGGGCACCTGGTTCCCGGGGTTACCCAGGCTGTGTTCCATCATTGTCTGGGCAGTGATGTCACTTCCTGGGCCCACTCAGCTGAGCCCCCTCCTTAAAGCAACACTTCCCTGAGGCCTGTGGACCCCTCATGACCCCTGTCACAGGTGCCATGTGCACACCTGCCTGCACACAGTCCCACCAGCAGCAGACCCCATCTTCCTGGACGGGCCTGAGACTCAAGGCTCTCACTGGAAAGTGACAGATTAAGTGTTAGTCCCAGCCCTTCCTTCCTTCCTCCAGGCCTTTGGTTTCTGGACCACTCTTGCACCTCACAGGGCTTCCCTCATCTCCTCTACTTCTAGGGCGTCATGCTAGTAGTCTCTGCCTCTCAGGATGTTCTCCTGTGTCTGGACCCAGAGCACCCATGTGACCTATGCACCCTGTGGCCTTTATTGCACAAACCCAGAGTTAGGGAGACCGCAAGGATGGCTGGTACAAGAATAGATTATGCTGCCCCACATTGGCATGATAATGTATGTGTGACATGGCACTTTCTGATTGTAGATTTAAATGACTCTTTGGTTGCAGACCTAATATCTTCTGCAAGTATGATCCGGGCATGTTTCATGCAGGGCTTCTAGCCTTTGGAAATAGCCTACCAGGATCAATATTGTCATATATTCCACTTCTTTCAAAGGGATTCTTTTGGAATCCAGCATGAAATGATGGAATTTTTTGGAGGAGAATGAAGAACAAATTTTAATACACATCCAAGGCTTATACGCTTTCCACCTTCTTCAGGGAGGCTGCATTTGCCCAAAGTCACGGAACATCACAGAATATGTGTTCAAAACCATTTTACATCATTTTATTTTTTGTCTGAACACAACAGCCTGACACAACGTGGTGAGCATGTCATGTTCCTACCATGGGAGTACCCAACATCAGTATTCTAGTGATGAGGAAAACCTCAGACAAATCCTAGCAGTTGAATATAGTGTTTTCCATTAGAAACAAATGTATGTCAGATTAATGACAAAATGAGAATTAATATCACTATCACCATAGGAACAATTATGTTTATTTTTTTTCTCACCTGATAGCCTGTGCTAGGGAATCACCAGCACTGGCAATGCCATTTTAAGTCCTAGGTACTCCATGTCCTCTCCAGCTTCGTGCTAAGCTACCTGGCACAGCCTTGGGAGAGGAGCTGAGTGTTTGTTCCCCTGTATCCCCGTGGAAGGCCAGGCTGGGCCAGGCTGCAGAACCAACCCGCACACAGGCAAAGGACAGGATGGTGGCCCAACACTATAGTTTGATTGGCTAACCTTCCTTGTGCAATTGTCAAGATTCCATATGGATTATGCTTTGTGTCCCAGTTGCTTCTTTGTGGCCATTGGAGGAGGGACCCAGTGGGTGACGGCTCCCTTTTTCTTTCTCTCCCCTCTGTGTAACTTAGCCTTTCCAATAAAAGTAGAATAAATCTACTGAAAACATTTATGTTACACGAGACACAGCAAAAGAACAGTGAGCTTGTTCACTCTTAAAAAGGTCTCTAATGGCTAGGGCAAGGCCAGGGTGAAGCTGGGATCTGGGAACTCAATCCAGGTGTCCCATACATGTGGCAGGAACCCAGTCACTGAAGCCAATTTCATGGTCTCTCAGGGTGTGGACTCGGAAGCTAGTGCTGGGCATCACACCCAAGTACACCAATACACGATTCTGGCATCTTAAATGCCAATTCAAGTGCCTGTCTCGGGTTAGGTTTTTTTCCTTTTTTTTTTTTTTTTTCATTTGCGTGAGTTTTTAAAAATGTCTTTTTTTCTTTTTTCTTGATTTGTATATTTTAAATTTATTTTTGTTGTATCTTGAGCATCGCATTTGTGAGAGAGAAAGTCAACTCTATTTTTTAGAGGCTGGGAAGAATAAAAAAGTATAGCTGATGCGCATACAGTATTTTTCTTCTGATAATAATATTTGAAGAGGAACCAGATCTTTTCAGCTGGAGAGCCCATTCTATTTACATGGTTGTCCCACCTAGAAACAAAGAGGTTGGGACACAGGGAGTTCAAGTCACAGCAATTTGACAACATTGCACAAAGAGCAAATATTAACAAGAATAATAACAATAATTTTAATAATAAAAGCAACACAGCAAAATGCACAGACGTCATATACACAAGTGTGTATGCCTTGGTTGTGATAGGGTTAATTCTCTTTTCATATAAAGCACCATGTATGTTTTAACCAGGATCTTTAATTTTATTTTATTATGATTTTTTTTTTTATGTGGAAGAGAAAGACCATATGTATGGCTTTGCGTTTCCATTGCCGTCGTGATTAAAGTAGACTGGGGTTGCATACAGGTGTCCCAGGAAGGTGGCAGGAACCCAGCACCTTGAGGCACCTCTGCTGCTCCCACAGGCTGTGTTCGGCAGCGGGGGGCCAGGCATTGAACCCCGAGATAGTATGATTTGGAGCAGCTGCTTCACTCCAGGCCGAATGCTTGTTTCCTCCATAACTTTTCTTCGCGTGCCCAACACAGTGCAGCCCGTTTCAAAAACAGAAATGTACTTCACCCATGCAAATGCGTTTCTAAATCCCGGGCTCTTGAACACTTTTGTGCCATGGCCCTTTTCCATGTGTACTTCTAATAAATGACAGGGCTTACTGGCAGGCTATTGACCACCACAGTGAAAGCAAGAACATTCTGGCATAGCTGTAACTATTTTCCTCACCTGGGGTTCCTAGTGAGGGGCAAGCCACAGGAGATAGGAAAGTGAAGACATGTTCTTTAGGGGCTATGAAAACTGCCAGTTTTTATTTTTCAAGTCCATGGACTTCATGCTGGATGGGTGTGTCTTGAGTACCCTCTTCTACTTATTAGCTCCGTTCCAACTGCCAGGTAACCTGGGCTTGGCTAAGTCAATGACTTTGGCCTGTAGGATGTGAAGCAAGGGCAACCTTACTCCTGCCCCATCCCAGGTCAGCTGCACTGGGGCATGTTGCCCATGGGAAGCCTGCAAGGCCACAGGAAGAAAGTTCTGAACTTCTGGAAGATGCAACAGAGCTAGTGGCATTGGAGTGGGAAAGAACAAAATGGGTTTGTTTCCACTCACTAATCCTCATCAACAGGGGTCCTGGCTGTTTGTTTGCAAGCTGGGTGCCAAGTGGAGGAGGTTCACTCTGGGATGTGAAGATCCCCAGCTCCTACAGTTTGCTTAGAGGCCCTCTTGGGGCAAACGTGGAGCAACCCAGTCTCGGGAGTGATGGTAGGAAATGGCCTCAACCCTCGGAATTGGAACCTGCCTTTGGACAAGACCAACGGGTGTGCAGTAAAGCCCTCTGAAGCAGGCACATCACAGTGGGAGCTGAGGAGGCAAATCTCCTGGAATCAGCCTTTGCCGCCCAAGCCGTCTTTCTTACTACACCGGGGATACCACTAAGGGCCCGTTTCCCCGCTCCCACCTAGGCAGCGTGGAGAAAGCACACTGGTTTGAGACAGGTGCAGGCTCTTGGCCTCAAATAAGAATGAATGAGTAAAACCTGTTCAGCAACCCATGGCTTTAATGAGTCAGTCACAACTCCTGAAAGGTTGAGTTCCAAGGTTCTGTGGTCCTTTGACCCTGGGCGGCTGTGGGGATTTGGGGTGGCCTGCGGCTGAGTGGGCAGGTCAGGGGCAGGAGCAGCAGCAGCACCTGGCCTGGCATCTCACAGCCCCAGCACCCATGCACCTCAGGAAGGTGACTGCCGCCGTTTGTCCCCACGCGGCTCCCATATAAGGCGGGCCCCGCCCCTTACTCGGGGCAGCCAGGGCTTCCTCACCAAGCCTGGGACAGCCCGATTCCTTTGCGCATGCCCGCCGCGTGGGTCCGCTCCCAATCCGCACCCCGGGTTTTCCGGTTTTCCAGGTGCTGGGAACTGCACTAAGTTCTGTGCCGGTTGCTCTAGGAGTTATTGGGTACCCCGAGTTTTCCAGGGACTAAGTGATTACTGTGCTGACGGGCTGTGTGGGACTCTTTGGAAACTGCGGACGGAGTAGTGGGGGGAGAAAACAACGCTTCTTCGCTCCCGTGTTGGTTTCGCAAGCCAAGGCGGATCCCAGCTCCCAGTGCGTTCAGGGGACGAGGAGGCATAGGGCGTGCCGCCTCTCAGCTAACAAGTTCTGCCTGCTCAATCCAACTGCCTTTCAGGGTCTTCTGTGACAGGTTGGGCCATGGTTGGAGTTTGAAAAACCGTTTTCTGGGAAACCCGTCCCACGAACACCGCCTAGCTCTGTCGTCCGGGGAGGAAGGTCAGGCACACGTAGCAGCTGGGTGGCTTTCCCACTAGTGAGTGTTGGGAGCACCTTCCCGACTGTGGGACTCCAGGAAGTAGCGTTGGGGCGGCCAAGCAGGCCACGCCCCCAAACTTCAGATCACGCCCACACCCGGTCACGCCCCTTTCCCTATTGGAACGCACCTTGCCTCTTGGCCACACCCCTCCTCTCGTCAGACCACGCCCCCAGCTAACCTTCCCGCCCCCTGCCCCTGTGAAACGCACCTCGCGTCTTAGTCACGCCCCTCTACCCGTCGGCCCCGCCCCCACCGTGTCAGCTGGCGTCTTCGCACCACCCAATCCTCCTGGCCCCGCCCCTCCTGCACCAAAGCCACGCCCCCAAAGCCTCTAAGTTTAAATTACGCGGAGCCGCACGGTCCCTCCCCTCGGCGCTCCCTGGGCGGCCGGAAACTCCGGCACCTGGATCTCGCGGGCTGGCGTGTTCTGGGCATGCTCAGTGGCCTAGCAGGTGGGGCAGCCGCGGGACTCCTGGGCCTGCGGGGAGCTGAGGGGCGGGTGAGAGAGGAAAGTGGGCGGGAAGCCTCAGGACTCGTCGCTGGAGTGGCCGGCAGCTGTCGGGCGCCGTCTGGGGGCATCCTGCGCCGGCCGGTCGGGATGAGCCATGGCATCGGTCAAGGTGGCCGTGAGGGTCCGGCCCATGAATCGCAGGTGAGTGGGGCCTCTTGCCAGTCAGTCCCCTTCGCCACGCCTCCGTCCCGTGGAAACCCATTCCCAGCACCCCCTGGAAGCGCCAGCTGGGATCTGAATGTCACGGGCCCTCCCCTCGCCGACGGGGCCCTGACAGTGACCTGTGGGGCCTGGACAGGACTTTGAGCTTTGGCTGTCAGGACAGCCTTTGGCGCTGTCCTGGAGCGGACCCTGAGGGTGGGGAGTTCACGAGGCCAAAGGAAGATCCCTGTAAAAATCTACCTCATTAACGGAGTGTGCTTGTTTAAAAAGCGTCCAAGGAAGATTTGAAATGAGTGGCGCGGGATGTGGGAGGAGTGAGGAGGCAGCTGGAGCTTAGGCCAACTGACTTCTGGAACTATTAGCCGGGTTTGGAGATTTAATCTCCTGAGTCCCTGTGTGTGAACCTTGCCTGTGAACTTCCCGTCTGTGACTTCAAAGGTGGTTGGAAATACTTAGGTGAAAGTTTTGATCAGTAGGGAAAACATTTCCAAGGATGCCCTTGCACTTGTTCGAAATAAGTTCCTTTTTAAAGAGAGCTTGGTGTTGCAAGCATTCAGAATTTAATCCAGTTCTATGGTTCCGCAAAGTAAACTATTAGGAATGATGCCATTTCGTTCCTGTAAAAATAACCCGTGCTTGCATTTCCATGACCCCTTTAGGACCAAAGTACTGGCCTTGGCAGACTTTTTAAGTTGGTTTAGCTTGAAAAATTGCAGCAACATCAGTGGCATAGGGCCTCCCGCCGGATAGGTGGAATCAGCCAACTGTTTTTATTAACTTCTCAGCTGAGTTGTGGGACATGTGACTTACTGCTTGGCCTTTATGCATGAGTCATATCAACTCGTGGAGGTCAGTATTTGGTGATTCTGCCAGCTGATTGGGGCATCAGAAGATCAAAGCATCCGGTGATTTCGATTTCCAGCACTTGATTAGACTCACCTGAGTGTTTTCCTGTTACTTAAATAAGGAGTTACCACTCTGGTTTCTGACCATTGGATACCATTGCTTTTAGAAATCAATGCTGTTGTGATTTTCAAGTTGTTTCCAAGACTGCTTGGGGAAGGAGTTTGGCTTTTTGTTCTTGTTTTATTTTGGTTGTTGTTAAAAAAAAAAAAAGGTTTATTTATTTAGGCACAGTTGTTGTACACTAGAGAGGGTCAGGCAGCAAGATCTGGGTGATCAGGAGCCAGGAGCCAGGAGCCAGGAGTTTTTCTGGGCTTCCCCATGTGGGTACAGGGCTCGAACACCTTCGCATTGCTTTCTCCGGCATGTTAATAGGCTGCTGGATCAGAAACGGAGCAGCAAGAGTTCAAACTCGCACCATATAGGATGGTGTCCTAGCTGTGTTGCTTTACCTGCTAGGCCACAAAGCTGGCCCTTTTTAACTTTTTTGCAAGCTCTGACAGTTTCTGAGTATATTTATTTATATGAGGTAAACACCTCAAGCCCATTTAGATGCTTTCAGAAGATTTTTTTATTGTAGATTTGCAGGTATATACAAGTTCCTTTTCTGTTTTGGAATAATATGAGCACAGTCTAAAATTATTTTAACTCTTGAAAGTATATTTGGAATATTGCTTTTTAAAAAACATTTATCTTATTTGAAAGGCAGAGGTACTGAGAAAGGGAGAGACAGAGAGGTCTTCCATCTGCTGGTTCACTCCCAAATGGCCACAGGACTAGGCCAGGACCAGGCAGAAGCTAGGACCCTGGAACTCCAACAGGGTCTTCCATGTGGGTGGCAGGGAGAAAGCACTGTCGCTTTCCCATGTATGTTAGAAGGGAGCTGAATCAGAGATGGAGCAGCAGAAACTGAAACTGGTGCAGATATAGGATGCTGATGTCATAGGTAGAAGGTTAACCTGCTGTGTCACAGTGCTGGCCCTTAAAGGATTTCTTGTGATCCCACCCAGTGAGAAGCATAGTGCTTGGGGTTCTCTGGGGGCTAAGTGAATGTGGTCTGAGGAGTGGCTTCTGGAAGCTGCAGTCAGCTGTGGGAGGGATTACTTGCTGGTATGACTAAGGAACCATTTTGCAAGGGGCGCTGCAGGTTCCTTGCTTAAGTCTATGTAATGGGAGGGTAGACACAAAGTCGGTGGGAAGAGTGTAGGTTCACCAGTGGGCTTTCAGGAAGGGGGACATTGAAGTGGGTATGTTTTCTTTTGGCTGTGTGGTGTGATAAGCATCAAGTTCAAGTGAAAACACTAGTGGTTCATGCATGCTGGACCTCATTCTGAAGTGTGGGAAGGGAGTTCCTCCCTTCTGCAAGTGTTCAGCAGGTGGTCGGAAACCTGGGTTTAGGTCTCAGGTGATTCCAGGATTGACATGGGAGTCTTTTGCACAGTTTAAGAATGCAAGTCCTTGGGACCCTGCACCTGCATGGGAGACCTGGAAGAAGCTCCTAGCTCCTGACTCCAGGTGGGTTCAGCTCTGACCGTTGTTGCCATTTGGGGAGTGAACCAGTGGATGGAAGATCTTTCTCTGGCTCTCCTTCCCTCTATAAATCTGCCTTTCCAATGAAAATAAATAAATGCCTAAAAGAAGAAATACTGGCAGGAAGGAAAGGGGGCTAGAGATTTGACACTGGGGTGATCTCTGGAGGTTTTCTGGGAGGACAGGGGCTTGCAAACTGGGGGGATTCTGAGCATCAGCCCGACAGATGGTATGTTAGGAGTGGCCACCTGAAGGAGGTGGATGTGGGGGAGCAGATGGGAGTGAGATGCTGTTGCGGATCTCGGTGGCAAGGGTGGAAGGGTGAGCTTCCAGAAGGCAGTTTCTCTGACAGAGTGATGAGGTGTAATTGATAAGGAGGAAGATGTGTAAATGGTATTAATGTTTAAAACTTCGGAAACGTTCATGTTGGGACATGTGACAGTAGTTGTCAAGATGAGAGGTTTGCAAACTCTGATCGCTAATGCCGTTTCTAAGGACTTATCAGGTGGATTCTTTCTTCTGCCTCCGTCATTCTATTTGGGAGACTCTCCATTGCACTTTTTAAAAAATCTTTTTATTTTGAATTTTGAATTATGTGGCACAATTTTGTATAGGCTGGGATTCTCCCCCAAACTCCCACCCCCCTGTCAGATTAATCATAAGAAAACACATCTTAAATTGTAGCTCTGTTGCTCTAATAGGTACATGAGATGGTCACTATACCTGCGTTTCACTCTTTTATTTTCTGTTCTGTTTCATAAAAACAAGTACTATTTTCTGGATCTACTAAAGTGACTTCAGTGTGCCCTGATGAGTGGCCCTGGGCAGTGCAAAAGGCCTGTGGTTCAGTGTGATACTGCATGTGGCCATACAGTGTCTGGCGTCTGGAAAGGACTCATAAAAATCACTGTGGCTCCTACTGTTATTGTTAGTGCTTCTATGTCTTCTAAGATGGCCTGTTTAAAACATTTTTTACATATGGCTATTGATTTTAAGGGCAGAGAAAACAAGAGAAAGATCTTCCATCCGCTGGTTACTTAGCAAGTGTGTGAAGCAGCCGGGTCTGGATGAGGCTGAAGCTGGGAGCCTGGAACTCCATCCTGGTCTCCAATGTGGGTGGAAGGGGTCCATGAACTTGAGCCACCCCACAGTGAGTGATAGCCGGAGTTGGGGCTTGAACTCGGGCACTCTGAAATGAGGCATGGGCATCCCAAGTAGCAACACAACTGCTGTGCCACATGTCCATCTCTGTTTAGTGATTTTGTATTAGAGAAAAAAAAAGCACCAGGTGTTTTTCCAAAAAATAGTTACCAAGTGCTGGCCAAACCTGTTGGTTTCTTGTCCCATAAGGCAAATCCACCTCATTCTTTGTTTTCTGACTGTTCTTAGCCTTCTCAAGTTCAAAAGAGAAAAAGGGAAAAAAACCCACAAGTGGTGTTTTTGGCTGGGGCAGATATTTGCAGGTGCACCTAACCTTTGGATTGCGAGAGCCAGTAAGAGTGAAGGGAGAGTGGTTGTTGCTGTGTCGCCAGGATCTGTGATGACTGGCTGAATTCTCTCACTGAGGGTGAGGAGGTGCACGTCAAGATACTTCCAGGCCCCAGGCTCACCTCCTTACCTTGGCAACTGTGGCCCTTCCTCTTGCCAGCCGACTGGCTGAGGGCTGTTTGCCTTCTGAGACCTTTTACCTCCTGGTGCTGGCTGAGCCTGCTCCTGTTCCCTGCCTGGCCCTCTCTGTGATTGCTCATGGCCTCAAGGCTCACAGGTGACAGAAACTTTTGGCCTCAGGACACTAACTGCTGGTCTGTTGGCGCAAACAAAGTACATAAATCTTGATAGTAGAATCTGTGGTCAGGATGGAGCTTCTATGTCCAGGAGTGGGGAAGCGAAACCTTTTTTCTTTTTGTCTCGCCAAGGGCCATTTAAATATTTATAACATCATTAGACCCTAAAAGTTAACAGCCCAGAAATTAGGCTGCTGTAAATTTATTGGATTTCAAGTCCTGCCTGAGGTTGGCCTTGGCATGACCAGGCCAAATGATTTCTGTGGCTGTGTATATATGTATGCATGCAAACACATGTTGCCTCCCCTGCTTCAGGGGGTTTCAGAGGCTGGGGAAAGAGATCTCCAAGGGCTCCTTGATCATTTACACAGCACAGTTTTGCAGGTGCTCTTTGGAAAGGATTATGTACAGATGAGGAGCATGATTTGGAGACTCAAAACAGCCTGACTTAGACCACACAGTGAAGACACTGAGCCCTTGTTTGAACTGGTCCCTCACCCTAGTTCCCATGTGAGAGACCTGACTTCAGTCTGGCCCACTCATGGCCCTTGCAGCCGTTTAGGGAGTAAACCAGCAGATGGAAGATGCCACTCTCTCTGCTTTTCCTCTTGCTCTCTGTAGCTTGTCAGTAATTATTTATTTGTCTATTTTAGATCGAATTTGTTTATTTGAATAGCAAAATGACAGGGAGAAACAGAAAGAGATCTTTCCTTTGCTGATTTATTTTTATTTAAAAGACAGAGTTGCAGAGAGAAGGAGGGA